TCTCTCTCTCTCTCTCTCTCTCTCTCTCTCTCTCTCTCTTCTTCACCCTCTTCACCATAGAAAGAGTATATCTTCTAGTTTCCTATCATCTTATTTATTTATTTATTAATATGTTAGGTTTTTTTCATGTAAGTGAAATTGATGCAATATTTATCTTTCCGAGGCTAGTTGATTTCATTCGGCATGGCAGGGTGGTAATATTTACTTATTTGTTTGTTTGTTTATAGCCTCATTATATAGTTCAGGCCAGTCTTGAGTGCACTATGTTGCTCAGGCTGTCCTTGAAATCACAGCAGTCATCCTGCCTCAGCCCCCTCAGTGCTGAGATGACAGGTATACAGCGTGACTCCCAGCAGCTTTTAAAAGGCAATATCCTATTGGCAGAGGTGCCAGACTTCCAAAGTAGCAAGGTGAATAGGAAGAAGAAGTCCCGAGTTTGGGTCTCACCTCTCTCACGTACTTAGCGATGGTAGCTGGAGTGATTTAAGTTTTAGTGTCTCATCTGTGTCTGTGGGATTAACTACACTTAAGCAAGAAAATGTATATGAAGGTTTTGTAAATTGGAAAGTGCCATCCAAATGTGAGTGACTTTGAGTTAGTAAAAAACCACTGATGATGACAGGTAGGGTCATATCCCAGTACCTCTAGCTTATCTACTTTTTGCAGCTCATTAATTTAAATGTAGTATTTATAAGGGCTGGCGAGATAGCTCAGTGGACTAAGCACCTGCTTTGGCAAGCCCAGGGACCAAGGTTCAATCCCCAGTCCTGCATGCTCCACCAGCCCTGCCCCCAGGGTGTGCTAAATTGGAGTCAGAGTGTGGGTGCAGTGGTACATGCCTGTAATCCCAGCAATGAGAAGGCTAAAAACAGAAGGATCACTATGAGCCCAAGCTGTGTAGTATGACCCTGTACCAAAAAACAAAAACAAAAAATTAATGTAAGCCAATGGAGAAATGTATAATAAATATTTGCCACTAAAAACATTGAAATTAAATAGGAATATGTTTCATTTACCTAGAAAATTATGTAGTATATATATTCCCTTGTAACAATAAAGTGTTAGCTATTTTTAAAGATTTTAAGTATTAGTGGCTGAATGTCCTTAATGAACATAGGATATAAAAATTCTCAGTAAGATATTTGGTAGAGGGGCTGGGGAGATGGCTCAGTGGGGTAAGCGCTTCCCTGGCAAGCACAAGGGCCTGAGTTCAATCCCCGAATCAGCAAAAAAAAAAAAAAAAAAATGTTTGGCAGAGAGAATGCAGCAAATCATTAAAAAGATTATATGCCATGACCAAGTCAGCTTTATCCCAGAGTGTGAAAATGGTTCAACCTATGTAAATCAATAAATACAATATACAACACTGAACTAAGTGTAAAAATCACATATCATCTTATAAGCCTTTGATAAAATTTAACATCCTGTCATGATTTTAAAAACTGATGAAAATAGGTATAGATGAAAATAGCTTTCTTCAAAGCTATTTATGACAAACCTATGCCTCCATCAGACTAAATGGAAAAAACTGAAAGTTTTCCAACAGTAGGCAAGGATAGCCACTGTTACCACTTTTGTTCATTGTGGTGCTGGACACCTTAGCCATGGCAATCAAGCAAGAAAGAGGAATAAAAGGGATACAGACAGGAAAGGAGGAAGTCAGGCTGTCCTCATTTGGGCATGGTAGGATCCTTGAAATAGATGACCCACAAGACTTCAACAGAAGACTTAGAACTAATAGATTCAGCAGAGGGGCAGGATGCAAATCAACACACAAATATCAGTAACATTCCTGTATACCAACAGTGAACCCATAGAGAAAGAAATTAGGAAAATAACTAAATTGACAGTTGCTTCAAAAATTAAATACTTCAGGGGCTGGGGAGATGGCTCAGTAGAATAAGCGCTTGCCTGGCAAGTGCAAGGGCCTGAGTTCAATCCCCAGTTCCGCAAAAAAAAAAAAAATTAAATACTTCAGAATTAGCCTAACCAAGAAAGTAAAAGACCTCTATAACAAAAACTAGAGCTCTATAAAAAAAAGATTGAAGAAAACATTAGAAAATGGACAGACATCCATGTTCTTGGACAGGCAGAATCAACATTGTCAAAATGGCCATATTACCAGAAATTATATGTTGATTTAATGAAGTTCCAGATCAGAGTACCAGCCACATTCTTCACATAACTGAAAAAAAGAGAAAAATCCTAAAATTTATATGGAATGAGTAAAGACGCAATGTAGTGGAAGCAGTCTTGACCAAAAAGAGCAAAACAGGAGGCATTACAATAACAGGATTTCACCTTTCTTTAGGTTTACATATTTCTTCATACTACAAAGCAACAGTAATTAAAACATCATGATACTGGCCCAATAAGACATGTTAACTAATTAAACAGAATTGAGGATGCACAGACAACCCTAGGTACCTTCCTTCATCTGACTCTTGACAAAACAGTGAAAACCGTGCTGGAATAAAAGCCTTGTTAACAAATGGTGCTGGAAAAACTGGTTATCATGTATAGAAGAATGAATCTAGACCCATATGTCTTGCCTTGTATTAATATAAGATGAAAATATATTTTTAAAACTCTAGGTATAAAAACAGAAACACTGTGTTGAAAGATAAAATAGGTAGTAGTCTTGAAGACTAGGCATAGGAAAGACTTTCTAAACAGAACTCTGCACAAGAAATACCAAGAATCAACAAATGGATTGTGTCAAATGTAAAATTTCTGCATATGGAAGGAAACAATCAACACAGTGAAGAGGGATCCTACAGGAAGGAAAAAAATTTTGCCAGCTCCTCAGACAGAACTTACACCTAAAAACGGTGGCAAGTCTACGGCATGTATGCTATTATGTTTTTCTTTTAAGACAAAAGATGTTAATGTAGAGTTGTTTTTCTGAACTAAAATAATCAGTATTTGGGTTTAATTGCAGTGCTGACCCTCTGTGATAAAAAAGTGGCTTTTGGGTTACAGTTTAGCATTCAGTCTCTAAACTGTTTACCATCACTGATCTACAATACATGAAGAACTCAAAAGAACTGGACCCTCCAAAATAAAGGATGAGGTCAAAAATGGGCAGTTGAAATGAACATAAACTTTACTAAAGAAGCAATAGAGATGATCAATAAATACTTGAAAAAAAGTTTAGCATCTTTGGCCATTAGAAAAGTGTTAATTAATACAATGCAGAGATTCCATCTTACTCCAGAAAGAATGACTATTATCAAGAACTCAAAAAATAAAACAAAAAAAAAAAATGTTGGTAAAGTTGCAAGGATAAAGGAACCTACCTACACTGGTGGCAGTGTAAGTTAGTACAACCATTTTGGAAATCACCATAGAAGTTTTGCTAAATAGATAAATAAGTGAAGAAATTTTATTTGACCCAGCTATATCTCTTTTAGGTATCTTCCCAGAAGAGTTAAAAATATATTACAGGGACTGGTGAGATAGCTCAGTGGTCTAAAGCGCCTGCTTAGGCAAGCTTAGGCAAGCATACAGGGACCTCAATTCAATCCCCAGCACCACATGCCATGCCAGCCCCGCTCCCAGGGTGGGCTGAGCTGACCATAAAAAAGAAAAAAATAAAGGAAACATTAAAAAAAATATTACAGTGATTCATGCATTCCCATGTTTATGACAGTACATTTTATAATAGCCAAATTAGCTGAATTTTGGAAACACCCTACTAGCAGTTGAATCAAATTACATATGATGGGACACTACTACGTATTCCACTGTAGTACTCACTTATAAAAAGAATACATTTGAGTCATTTGTAGGAAGATGGGTGCATCTTATGACCATAATGCTAAGTGAAATGAACAAAGGTTAAATACATCATGCTTTCATAGAAGAAAAGGAAGCATAAGTAATTTAGGAGCAAATAAAAGATGATAGGAAACGGGGAAGTAGACTTTGTGGAGATGGTAAGGGGATCTAGAAATGGAAAGGGAGGGATAGGATTTGGAGAAGTGGAACCGGAAATGATTGGAGATGTGGTACTTATATGTCCATCATGAATATTGTTACCATGTCTCACAAATATATGCCAATAAAGAAAGAAAATGTGATGTCTACATATATGATGGAATACTTAGTACACAGTCCTAAGGAAGGATAGATTTGAATCATTTTAGGAAAATGGATGGATCTTGCAGCTATAATGCTGAGTGAAATAAGCCTGACACAGAAGATTAAATATCATGTGGTTTCTCTTACCAGATGAGACGTTTTGGAGTGGATCAGGACCTAGGGTAGCAAAGAGAGTACAAGTAGGGGAGGGAGTAGAAATGATTAAGATGCACTACATGTATGTACCAATTTCCCCAAATGGATATAACTCTATATCACAATCATAAATTAATGAAAGTTAAAAAATAAATGTTAGTGGCTGTTTCAACTAGCAAATTGTAAAACAATTTTTTCCATCTGCACCATAGTGAGCATAGGATGTAGTCTACTCCTAGCACATTAGCAACCCAAAAGGCTGCGTGTCAGTAACCCCGAGAATCCCACATGGCAGCCAAGCAGCATCTGCTTCCCGATGAATGAGGTCTGATGGGTGCTACAGCAATAAAAACTGTTTCTGTGATTAAATGTATCGAGTTCTGATGAAACACTTACTTTGTAGGGAAGTGGGAAATCCACGTTAGCCAAAGCAGTCTGTAAAGAAGCCTGTGACACACTGGACGCGCATGTGGAAATAGTTGACTGTAAAGCTTTGAAAGGTATGAGTATGGAAAGCCCTGCAGAAAAACCCTTTCTTGTAGACTGCAGTGTCATTAATACTGTTAGTCTGACAAATATAAATGTCACCTACTCTTTAACTTTCTTAAGTATCAGTCTTTGAAAATCCTTAGAAGTTTTCATTGTTGTTGTTAGTACTGGGAATTGAACTTAGGACCTTGCACTTGCCGGGTAGGTGTTTGTGCTGCTGTGCTATATCCCCAGCTCATTCCTTAGAAGTTTTAAGCCTTTGGCTTTTAGTATCTTTGATACAGTTTCTAAAACTTCTCTGCTGTTTGATGAGGGCCCGTTTTTTTCCTTGCCAAAACTCTATAGACTGAACTCCTGGCAATGCGCATTATCCACTCTGAGAGCGTTAGTATTTAGAGTACATGTGAGTGCACAGCTGTGAGCCAAATTGCCATTTACCATGTAATACCTTTATGCATTTTAAAGTATTTTACATTTGCATTAATATTTATTTAATTAGAACAAGAGATTGAGAAGATCTTTTTTTTTTTCTTTCACTCTTCTGTTTGGCACAAAATGGGTGCTTAGCAAATATGAATTTCTGTCCCCACATGTGCTATATAATTTCTTAGGGTTTTTTAAATTTATTTTTATTGAGAAATAAATATGAATGAGACAGTTTCACAGCTGATTAATAGGACAGTTTTGATAATCAATACACTGTACATTGTTATCTTCTTAGTGGTTATCCATAATACAAGAAGCAGACAGGATATTCTGTCCAAACACTTTTAGTACACCTCTTTCTTCTCATTGAATTAAGCGAAAGTAGCTGTAAATTTATCCTATTTTGTGTATATAAATACAAAATGATCTTTCCTTTGCATCCTTTTTGTTGTTGCTGTTTTTGTCCTGACAGAGGTGAATATTCTATTGGCATCTAAATACTATAGGTATTTGAATTTAACTAAACAATCTAACACTCTCTAGCAGTCTATAATATTAGTGGGTTATCCTCAGAAGTTATTGACTTGAGCCTTTTACAGCTCATCGTATTAATATGGATTTACTTTATATACCTCATTTTTATACTTTTCTGCTGAATGGTTAAGACCAAGATATAGCAAGACCTATATAACAAGAAATGTAACTTTTGTATCTGATAAGGTCAGCCAAATACTCTCATGATTTATCCTGTAGCCCTGTATCGCCCTTTGTACATCCTATTGTCATTGTCTGACATGAGGATGAGTCACGGCCATTTCTTGACCAATTTGCTCTCTGTGAAAGCTTGAGAAAGTGTTTTTTTCTCTCCACGTGACTCTCCCCAGGCTCACTTTACATCATCGAACACATTCCTCTGTGTCTCCATAATCTTCTTGATCAGAAAATTTGGAGCACAACTGAGTTGCATGTTGTTACAGTACAGGTTCTCCTGTGTCCCGAGTAAGAAGATCTTATTTTAAACAGTTTCTCCCTCAGCTATCACTGCCAAATAGTCCGAACTCGTCATGGTATCTCAGTTTTTAATGTAGTGCATAATTAGAAACTAGTAAATAAAAAAAAAAAAAGAAACTAGGAAGTAAGTTTCTGAAAGCCCACTACTTCATTTGCTATAAAGGAGGTTTTAGAAACACTCTGTCTCTCAAAGTCCTGCCTGAGGTCTCCTGAGAAAATTTTAATTTTGAGCCAAGTAATGGCACATTTTTACATTAACTTATGAATTTGTATGTTTTCTGTTCTTCGAAATTTGAAACTTTGTAACTCTAGAGAATTTGGCTTCAAAGTTTTATTCAGATATAGCAGTTCTAGGATCTCTAGGCAGCTACATTTGTATTTGATTTTACCTGAATCTTGATCCTTTACTCTTGTTTATGTTTTCCTGCATCCTGTTCTTAGTTTACTATCTTACTATAAGCCATCTGACATGCTCTGCAGAGTGAGACTGAGTCTATATAGAAATTATACTAGCACATCGCTTTTCTTAGTCATAAAATTTGGCCTTTTGCTGAGTATTGAAGCAGTACTAGTTAAACTATGTCAGTGATTAATAGGTTTTTGTGATGGGAATATTAGTAACATAGGGACTGAATATTTACACTTCATTCAGTATTGAGCTCTTCAAATGCTTTCAGAAGGAGAGCCTCACCTTTTCCCTCACTGAAATAATAGTGCAGCCATGTTTTCTGTGTTAAGGAAAAAGGCCTGACCACATCCAGAGAGCCCTGGAGGCGACGTTCTCAGAGGCAGTGTGGAGGCAGCCCTCTGTGGTTCTGCTTGATGACCTGGACCTCATTGCTGGGACGCCCGCGGCCCCGGAGCAGGAGCACAGTCCTGAGACAGTGCAGAGCCTGCGGCTTGCACATGGTAATACATCCTCCACTGCCTGAAGGCCACCTTCTCTCATTAGCATTTTCAGTCTTGGCTGTTACATGTGCTCTGCCATGTGCTATTTTGAGGCCTCTGGTAGTGCACATACTGTAGCTTCTGCATTAGCAAAATTGGCAGAGAATAAATGGTGTGAAAAAGCCACAATCCCTGGCTTTGGGACATCGTGGCCTGTTCGTTCTTCTTTGCTTGTTAGAAGTTGTTTATAGACTTACTCTTGCTTTTGTTCATTTGACGCATATCTGTCAAATGCTTGTATACAGTGGTCCCTCACTTATCACGGAAGTCACGTTCCAGGCACCCTTGTGATAGGGGAAAATTAGCAAACTAACGATGGTATATTTATTTTAGTATTTATATATATGTTAAGGCTTTATAAGCCCTTCCCCCTCTCTTATAAATCTTTCACACACTTTTAAAACACACTTCTAATGTTCTTAACTGTTTTCTAAATTCATAAACCCATGTAATTTTAACAGCATACAGATACTGTATGGTACTACAAAATCCTGCGATACACTGAAAAATCTGCGATAAATAATTTAGATGAATGTTTTTGAAAATCCACAAAACAGTGAGTCTGCGAAAGTCAAACCACAACATAATGAGGCACTACTGTATACTGAAAGCCAAAGGAAAGAAAGAAAGTAAACAGGTTTAGCATGGTATGGCAGTAACAACAGCAGCTGCCATGTATTGAGTTCCCTTTCTGGGTTGTAGGACTTGCCTTGCATTCTGTGTACGAGAGCCTCCTGGTTTCAGGTCTGTAAATGGGACTCAGAGGGCTTAAGTAGTTGGAGAAAGTGGACCAACTAGCAGTTGGTAGGGTGTGCTGTACTTGAAGTGAACTTTCAGAACATGTAACCTAATTTGGAGGGCAGGAGTTACCAAGAAAAGCTTTTTGGAGGGAGTGGGTAATTGAGTTGAGTTTTGGTGGAAACTCAGAAACAGAAGCATGAAACAGAGTCATAATGATGAAGAGAGGAAAGAGATGTGGTCCCCAGGGAAGGGTGCAGAGGTGCAAGGGATACCGGCATGTTGGGGAGCCTGCTGTTGGTTGGAGCTGATGGGACCAGGCTAGGACTGGTGGGGTGGTGAGGTTGGAGGGCTTGGCAAGCGCTGAGCTGTCTCATGGGTCTTGAGAGTTGAAATAGGTACAAAGTATAAATAGAGTGACTTGGGTTACTGTTAAGTAGTGTTAATCTCGAGTTTTGAATTCTGTAACACATGTTAACTCGTCTTACGCTAAATCATAAAGCACTGGCTCTATTAGTCTACTGTTTAAAGAGGACTGTGTATTTCTAGGTTGAGAATCACGTACTAATTCACATTACTGATGCATGTATCACTTCCAGCCTTCTCATTCCAAACTTTGCAAGGCTTTGAGCAGAAAGAGTTACTGAGGAACGCATAGTAATGTGAGCTGTGCATTTTGCTTAATAAACAGAGCACAGGGCCGTGGAGATGGCTCAGTGGAATAAGTGCTTCCCTGGCAAGCGCAAGGGCCTGAGTTCAATCCCCAGTTCCACCAAAAAAGTTTAAAAAAAATAAAATAAAATAAAATAAAATAAAATAAGCAGAACAGTGCAGAAATGTACAGCTCTTCAAGCATTCACTCATGTCATTGCCTTTTTATTGTTCATTTACTTCCCCGTAAGATCTAGGAGTCAGGCACCTTGCTAGACATGGTTCTGGATACAGTCTGAGGTTACGTCTGCTCTTGTACTTGCTTTAGGTAGAGTAGAGGTTGGCTCTCCAGACCTAAGTGGATGAATTAATGTTTTAAAGGAGTTGCCCCATCTTATAGCTCAGTGTTAGGTTATCATTATTTTAATAAATTCAGAATTTTAATTTTGATGGTTCTTCATCCTGAGCTTTTACGCCATCTTGCTTCATTCTAGCTGTGAGTGACATGCTGAAGGACTTTATTTCCATGGGAAGTTTGGTTGCCCTGATTGCTACAAGCCAGTTTACGCATTCTCTGCATCCTTTACTTGTTTCTGCTCAAGGAATGCACATGTTTCAGTGTGTCCAACACCTCCAACCTCCTAACAAGGTAATGCACTGCTTACAGATTATTGTACTGACCCTCTTTTTAGAAATTATTTTTTATGTTATTAATGATTTATAGCCTTAAACTTAATGCTCCTCGGTGTCTTAACATTTAAAAGCAATATTTGGTGCTAGGTGTGTAAATTATAATTTATAGCCATTTGAAATATTATGTATTTTCCAAGAAAATGACTTCCCTGGAAACAGCATTTCTTCTCAATGAGAAAAAATAGAAATATGAATAGATGTCTTTTAAAGATTAACAGGGTCTATAGACACCCAGGCTCATAAGGATGTTATGGCAGTGAGCTGAAAGAAGAGTTATGACACTGGCAAGCATATTTTAAGCTCTTGCTTAAAATTCTGACTTGTGGTCTTCCCTGAATATTTAGACGTCCCATGTTATTGAAGAGCAAAAGTATTTTATCTGTTATTAAGTGTAACAGAATGGCAACGTTATTCAGCATCATCTGTATCTTTAGAAATGTACTTTATAGGAACAAAAACTACTTCTAATAACCCTATATTACTAAAACTGCTTCTTTTTGGAGAAGGAAATGGAAATCAGTGTGACTTTCTTTTACAGATTTACTGAGCTATAGTAAAACAACAAACTCACATAAAAGGGGCCGGGAGATGGCTCAGTAGAATAAGCACTTGCCTGGCAAATGCAGGGGCCTGAGTTCAATCCCTGGTTCAAAACAAAACAAACAAACAAACAAACAAACTCACATAAAGTGTACAGCTTAAGTGGTTTTAACATACCTATATATGTATATATCAGAAAACCACAATCAAAGTAAGAAACATTTCCACCCATCCCACAAGTTTCCTGGTGCCTTTTGTAATCCATTCCTTCTTGATTTTATCCCCAGACAACCACTAACCTGCTCTCTCTGTCACTATAAATTATGTTAGCTTGCCATTTCTTCAGTAATGTGTAATTGTGCACCCTGAGTGATATTGTAGTCAACAAAGGCCCACAAAAGGTTCTAGTATGACTGCAGTGGAGCAGCATGATTCCTGACCCTGGACACTTCATAGCTGTCACCATTACTATATCCAAGCAGAACATATCACTTGTGTGTCTGTAGTGGTACTGATGCAAGCAAACCTATGCTGCCAGTCATACAGAAGGACGCACAGCCAGGCCCCGAAACCCCCACTATTTGGTAGGCCATGGCAGGATCATTACAAGTTTGAGGCCTACTTGGGCAACTTAGTGAGACCTTGTCTCAAAAATATGAAGGGCTAGAAATATAACTGAGTGGTAGAACACCCTTGGGTCTGATCCTCAGTAACCTGCCCCCCAAAATAAAAACTATGCATGCAATTATGTGTGGGACATAATATCTGAAAATGATAATAAAAGATTATACCATCTTTTTCATTGTTTTAGAGAGTACCATAAACCAGCATGCTTCCTACGTCTTTTGTCTGCCATGTCTCTTGACTGTATCATTTTTTCTTTTTGATTTCATGTCATGTTGTTTGTTCACTGTGGCCTGTACACATACCGAATTCACTGCTAATGTTGCCAGACAGAGGCCATCGCAAGTGACTGGCCTGGAATGAAAATTTAAAAAGTGATGCAGTACTACAGAGGAGTCAGTGTTATTGCTTATCAGTCAGGCATGTCCTGTCCCCTGTAGCTACCGTCTAAAAGAATAAGACCATGTGACAAGTTCTTAAAGGATCTGCTTCATTGAAGAACCACAGGACTAGCAAATGTTGAGGAGGCCCTGTGTCCAACCTGGAGAAAGTCAGTGACCTAGATGGCAGTCCAGATACAGGAGTATGTCCTGCAAGCACCATGATGTGGCCAGAGCAGAGAGTCTGTTGGTAACATTGAAAGAAAAAGCAGGACCTCACTGTGCTGTTGAATCTCCTGTCAGCTGTGGTTTAAACAATTCAGGAGAGGCCAGGGATTTAGCTCGGTGGTAGAGCTCCTGCATAGCAATCATGTTGCTTCCTGGTACCAAAATAATAATTATTAATTTTTATTAATTAATAATTGTTATTATTCAAGAGTCTTTACTATTCATTTTATAATGTGAAACTTGGGGCTGAGGCTGAGTACTGGTGTGAAGATAGCTGAATGTATGGAAACTGCACAAGCTGAACTGGGAGGGAAAATACTGCCAGAATGCATCTGGCAAGAGCAGTCTGGCAGCATCAATCTGGGGGCGCAGTAGATCACACCATGTAGCCAGGAGACTTAGCCAGGTATGCATCTGTACCACCGAGGTGTGTCTCAACATAGCTACGGTGTATGCACATGGTGGGGTTGCCTAAGGAGGCATTCCTCAGAACACACTCCTACTGTTACGCAGACATGACTATTAAAATGTACAATTGAATACAATTAACAATTTGAGTATTTTGCTTTTACTTTAGGAACAAAGGTATGAAATGTTGCATCATGTAATAAAAAATAAATTGGACTGTGACATAAGCAAGTTCACTGATCTTGACCTGCAGCATATAGCCAAAGAAACAGAAGGATTTGTGGCTCGAGATTTTACGGTGCTCGTGGATCGGGCCATTCATGCCTGTCTCTCTCATCAGCACATATCGGCTAGAGAAGGTATGTCTTATGAAAACCCAGAAAGTGGAGTCCACTTTCTGTTATGCAACAGTGTAAATTGTGGTGATACTAGAATTAAGCATATTCCATTTAGTATTTAAGCTGATATTTGAGTAAAAAATTAACATTTCCAGCTAAGATGATAGTATATTTTGAAAATTCACTGATGGAAATATGGCTACCAAAAGAAGTTTTGATTATTTTGAAACAGAATTAGTATTCACAACATTGGACTTCCAAAAGGCTCTTGAAGGATTTATTCCTGCATCTCTGCGAAAGGTCAACCTGCATAAACCTAGAGACCTCGGTTGGGATAAAATTGGTGGACTGCATGAAGTTCGGCAGATACTCATGGATACAATCCAGTTACCAGCCAAGGTACTCTAAAGGAAGGGGTGGAGGGAGGGGAAAAGAGGAAGAAAAAAAGAGAGCAAGTTTTGGCTTTGTGTGCTGGCCTACTCAGTCTGTTTGACTGCACAAGTATTTACTGAATAAACAATATAAATGTCCAGCACTATTTTAAGTACTTAAGCAGATTTTTAAAGTATTTGATGTACTTCTTGTCAGAAATGTCTAAAGAAAAGCTCAGTTTATATCTACAGTAAGTACATTTTGATGTCATTTTCATCTGTTTTGCTTCATTCATTCACATGAACTATCTGCTGGGATTTGAGCAGAAGCAGATAAAAACAATCTATAAGGTGAAAGAGTCAGCTAGGCTCACAGGACTGGTGGATTAAATGACAATTCTAGACCCTGAGTGGCTCTCTGGGAAGGGAGAACTTGGCAGGGAGCATAAATGAGGTGGGTGATAGGATAATGGTAGAGTCTAGGCGGTGGTATGTTGGATCCTGAGATAAGGATCATTGATGAGAATGGGGCCCACGTAGGAAATAAAGAAATGGGTAGGCGCTTGGGTCCCTCGTAGCTGGATGGCTGCTCCTTGGAATGGTCACTGACTGGGTCTGGGACACATTGGACTCAGTCCAGGACCACGTGAAATCTGTGAGTTAGCAACCAGCAGCTTCCTGACCTCAAATGCTGGGTCTGGGCACTCCTGGGATTTAATGCTGAGATACGTGGAAGCTGCGTGCAGCTGCTGGTTTTGAGGCTCTTTCAGGTGAAAGTAGTAGAGGTGAGACTGGAGTTGTATCATCAGGGTGTCCCACCAAAGAGGGACACCCAAGAGGAGACTAGGATCCTGCTGATGTGGCCTGATTTTTGTGTGTGTGTGGGTTTTTTTTCTTTTTAATAATTCTATTGAGAAACAAATATCAGTGAGACAGTTTCACAAACGATTACTGGCACATTTTCAATAATACATCGCATATTGTTGGCCTAGTGATTATTCACTGTACAAGATGCAGACACGATATACTGTCTCAAACACTATTAGAACAAACCTCTGTATTCATTGAATTAAGAGAATGGAGCTGTGTATCTATCCTAACTATTTTGAGTATACAGATACAAAAGGGTTGTTCATTTCTATCCCACTTTTTTGGTTTTGTCAGAGATGGGTATTCCATTGTCATTTAAATATTGTAGGTGCTTGAATTCCACAGAATCTCCCAATATAGTCCAGTAGTCCATAATAGTAATAGGTTTTCTATAAGACTGGCCATGTCCAAAGTTGTTGACTTGAGCTTTTTACAGCTCAGCACATTAACGTGGCTTTAATTTTTATACTTCGTTTTCATACTTTTCTGCTGGATGGTTAAAACCTGTGGCTTGATGTTTAGCTCATCTCACGTAGGACTTTTACCCTTAGCAGTTGATGAAGAAAGTAGTTGACATGCAGTCATATTCCTGCTTCTCTGTTATTTCTTTTCTTTCTTTGATTGGATATATTTGAGTTTATACAACTGTCATAACTTGTTCTGTGATCCATACGAGTAGCTCCTTTGATTCACTGGTTAGTACAAATTTCATTCTTTACCATTGTGCTGTTAATAAAGCTGGCAGTTACTACCATCGGAATGCTTTTTCCTGTGTTGATCTTCAGCTACCACTTACTCAGTCTGTTGCAATATAAGCTCTTTTTATATTTTTTAGTACCCAGAATTGTTTGCAAACTTGCCCATACGACAGAGAACAGGAATACTGCTGTATGGTCCTCCTGGAACAGGAAAAACCTTACTAGCTGGGGTAGTTGCTCGGGAGAGTGGAATGAATTTTATTAGTGTCAAGGTATGTGTGCATCTTCTTTTTCCCTTTTCTTTTTTATTTGAGGTAATACTTAAATAGCATGCAGGTACCCATTTCAAAGTGTGCTCATCATTGACATTTAGTGCACTTGCACAGTTGTGCAACTACTGCCTCTTTAGTACCAAAATGTTTCTGTCCATTCCCTCCTCTCCCCATGCCCTGGCCACTATTAACCTACTTTCTGTCTTTGTGGGTTTGTCTGTTCTGTATATTTCCTATGAAGAAAATCAGGCAGTGTGTGGCCTTCTATATCTAGCTTCTTTCATTTGGTCTGATAGTTTCGTGCTTCCTGCAAGTGGTATCAGGTGTGAGTACTCCCCTGTCATGACTGAATCACAGCCCATTGCGTACCAGCACCAGGCTTTGTCTATCCACCCTTTACCATTGGTAAGCATTTGGGTTATTTCTCCCAGTTAGCTGTCCTGAATAATGATTGCTGTAAACATTGCTGTGTAGACCTATGTTTTCAGTTCTCTTGAGTCAGGATAATTAATTCCCTGCTTTAGTTTACTAAGGAGCCACCAACCCGTTTTCACAGCAGCTCTCCCACTGCATGTCTCCCTCAGCAAATTGTGGGGTTTCCTAATTCTTTGTGTGCTTGCCAGCACCATTTAGGTTTCGTGATTGGGGTTAATCTCTTACTTGGTAACTGGTAGGGATCATAAAATGTCCATAGATTAGCTAAGCTGTAAGAAATTATGAATGAACCCACCTCTCTCTTGTATGGCTTCTTATATTCTATCTTACAACAAATCTTCCTGGATTATGAGTAGATTTGTACATAAATATTTACCTATTACACTTTTTTTTTTTTTTTTTTTGCGGAACTGGGGATTGAACTCAGACCCTTGTGCTTGCCAGGGAAGCGCTTATTCCACTGAGCCATCTCCCCTTGTCCATGTACATAAATATTTAAATAAAAGTACAAACTAGGTTGAAAGGAAGAAAAACTCTGAAAGGCCAGAAGTCTGAGACGACAGGAGGAAGGATCCTGGTTTTGTTGTGGTTCTGCTGCTAGTCAGCTGCGAGGCATGCATGTGTCACGCCAGCTCTGAGCTCTCCAGGTGCCAAGCAAGCATGATGCTTAAGGAGTTGCAGGTCCTTGGGGTACTGCCTCCCTGTCCGCTGTGGCTGGCACCGAGGTCTGGGATCTCATATCCTATGGCACAGCTTCAGCACCTTCGCACTATTAGGTAAACATAGGGCACTCCATTCTGAAGCAGAGGAATCATATTCTGTCCTTCAGAGTTGGTATATACAGTAACTTGACAGCTACTTCGGTGGTTTGCCATTGGGCTTTGCCTACCCTCTTTCATGATTTTTGTGAGCTGGGTCCTTGGACACCCTGGCAATGGTGGAGAAACACTAAAATTTAGTTTTCTTAAATTCAGAGATAACCATAACTATGACCATACTTTTTTTTTTTTTTATACTTGTCACCAAAGTGCAGTTTTTCTGTTTCAAGATTAATGCTTGTGAATATTAGATTGACCATTAAGGAGGACTCTTTATCCCTCTTAGGTCATCATCAAAGGGGAAGGTGACAATAGTAAGCTGAATGTTTCAGTGTGAGTTCTAGATCCTTCAGAGGCAGGGCCCTTCACTAATGCTGTCACCTTGTGTCTAACTTTGCCTCAGTGATTCTTGTTTCATTCCCCAATCCTGCAGTTCTCTGACTGTACTGAGGAAATGGTATTAAATAACAGTTTGCTAATACATTTCTAAATGACTGTTAGAAATTCGTTAATTTGGTTCCGTATCCTGATTAGTATTTGATCTCTTGCAGGTAGTGATTTTTCACTAGAGAGCACATTAAGATTAACTCAGGTATTTTTAAAAGAGATCCCAATTTAAGAATAGACTATATTCATTACTGATGTTGTTTATACAGTAAAGTTTATTTTGAAAGATGTTTTGGTTGACTTTTAAGAAAGACAGTACATTCTTCAACTCCTATACAATTGGTTTTAGTAATAGCAAGTGCTGATTGGAATAATTTTTCTCTCCAGCTTTTTTGGAGTCTGTGAAGATTTGAGAATGATGGGAGTTGCTTAAGCCATTACCACTTCTCTAAATCAGTGATTCACCAGCAAATATGTGGCCCCAAAGACTGGGACTCAGCAATCAGAGAAAAAAAAAATCTGTCTTTCAATCCTTTCCTCTCCTAGTGGAAAGAATCAGTAAAAAGGTAGACACATCCAGTCTAATATCTGCCAGGGATGTTGTAAGTAGAGGAGAGTACTTGTGTTAGCTATTTCTTTCTAATACAGATTTTAAAAATGTGTTTAAAAGATGTTCTTTTAGGGGCTGGTGAGATGGCTCAGTGGTCTAAAGCACCTACTTAGAACAAGCTTTAGCAAAGCCCAGGGACCACAGTTCAATCCCCCAGCATCACATGTCAGCCAGCCCGCCCCCTGGTGGGCTGAGCTGGCCACACACACACACACACAAATAAATAAAAATAAAAATAAATTAAAAAAAGTTCCTTTAAACTGGGTGTGGTGGTGCACACCTATAGCCCCAGCACTTGGAAGGCTGAAGCAGGAGGATTGCCACAAGTATGAGACCACCCTAAATAAACTACATATTTTGAGACTTGGTCTCAAAAAAATAAAAGAGAGAAAGATATCCAGTTAAACAAGTTAAAAATCATCCATAATTCAGTTAGACTCACTCTAAACCACAGTTATATTTTCTTGTTTAGTAACTATCTCTTATTTTTACCTAATAGGGGCCAGAGTTGCTCAGTAAATACATTGGAGCAAGTGAACAAGCTGTTCGAGACATTTTCATTAGGTTGGTTTCCCATGAATATTTTAAAGTAACTGATACACTATTTGTCAAGCAATGCTTTTTTGTTTTGTTTTAAAGAGCTAATGTTTGAAACCATGATTTATGTGAATTATTAATAAACTAAAAGAACAAAGATTCTGCTTCACCAAACAGTACTTAAATGTAAAACATTCTTATATTAAAATTTGAGGCTAAGTGTGGTGGTGCATATCTGTAATCTTAGCACTAGGGTGGCTGAGGCAGTAGGAGTTTGAGGCCAGCCAGGTTGGGCTACATAAGTGAGTTTGAGGCCAGCCTGAACTGCATAGTGAAACCCTTATTTTTTTACTCAAAAATAAGTAAATAATGGGCCAGCCAGATAGCTGAGTGGATTAAAGTGCCTGCTTAGGCAGACTCAGGGTCTGGGAATTCAGTCCCTGGCCTGCCTGCCTGTCAGACAGCCCTGACCTGGGGGCGTGCTGAGACAGTGATTGAGACTGGGTGTGGTGGCACATGCCTGTAATCCCAGCGCGTGAGAGGCTGAAAACAGGAGGATCACTACCAGTCCCATCTACGTAGTGAGACCCTGTAGACCCTGTACTAACTAACTAACTAACTAAATAAATAAATCTGGAGGTTTTATGTTTACAATAGCACTATTCTTGAAAGTAGAATGTTAAGTGGTTAATCAAAGAACTCTCAGGGCTGGGGAGATGGCTCAGTGGCATAAGTGCCTTCCTGGCAAGCTTAAGGTCCTGAGTTCAATCCCCAGTACTGCCCCAAAAAAAAAAAAAAAATTACTGTTCAAAGAACTCTCAGTGGGTGTTGATATGATAATGATGGTTATTATTATTATTTCTATTATTTGGCAGACTAGGGATTGAATCTAGGGCCTCCATACTGAGCTATGTCCCCATCCTACTGTCACCCTTTAAATTCTTATTTTGATACAAGTTCTCCTCAAGTTGCCCAAACTAGACTCAAACTTGTGATCCTCCTGCTTAGGCCCCAAGCGTGGTGGGATTATAATCATACACCACCACACTCTCGTGGTTCTCTCATCTTTAAAATGAAGATTTGATTAGGTCCATAGCCAACACATTTTGGTGTCATAACCCCTTTTCCCAAGAGCAGAGGATCCTAAGTAATTTGTCTATGACAATTAATCTTGTATTATTTACCGTACTAGAATGAAAACTGCCAGCTGTGGTGTCCCTCACGTATAATCCAGCACTCAGGAGGCTGAGGATTGATGTGAGTGCAAGATCAGCCTGAACTACACAGCAGGACCCTGTCTCAAAAAAGAGAGAAACAGCAACAATAAAAACACACATAAAAAATAAAGTATTTTAAATATTTTTTAAAAATACACTAACTCAGTTTCATGAAAAAATACATATTTTCCAAAATAAGGTTAATGACAAAGTGGCGTTCTGCTTTTTTTTTTTTACTTCACACAAAAGCTGAGTCACTCAGCTGCCCAGATGGGGCTCAAGCTTGTGGCCCTTCAGCGGTAGCCTTCAGGGTGCCAGCCTTGCCCGTGTCAGCTTGCGAGTAGATTCCTGCATGGAGCAAATATTTGACCCTGATTTAGTCCCTTTTTTGTGGCCTAAATTCTCTTTTATAAATATCTAATTTATGTCTTATAAATCAAAATTCTATATGAGTAATTTAATTAAAATAGAGTATAACTATTATTAGATATGCATAGAATGCCCGAGGATATGAATGATAATATATAAAGATGAAAATAATTATTCAAATATAGGATTATAGGGAATTTTTAAATTAAAAATTACTTTGTTTCATTTTTCTGAAAATTTTAAGTATATAATTAAGAGAATATAAATATAATATATAACATACCTTTTTTTTGAGGCAGTGTCTTGCTCTGTAGTCCAGGCTGGCCTCGAACTCGCTTTGTAACCCCTGCTGGCCTAAAGCAGCAGTCCTCCTGCTTCAAACCACCTGAGTGCTGGGATTACAGGCATGTGCCACCATGCCCAGCTCATAACTTTTAAAAGAACAATGAAATGGAGATTTGTGACTCTATTACCAAATTTAAGAAATAGAACATTACCAAAACAGAAGCAGTACTAGAAATACAATCACTACATCTTGATAAAAGGTCAGTTCACCAAGAAGATGCCATAACTCTAAGATTACCCGTCTAGACAGGTATAATAGCATACACCTATAATCCCAGCACTCAGGAGACTGAGGCTGGAGGATTACTATGTGTTCAAGGCCAGCCTGGGTTACCCACTGAGTTCAAGGACAACCCGAACTCATTACATAGTGAGACCCTGTGTAAAAACCAAAACATAGTAAATACATACATACATATATACATACTAAATAAATACATAAATGTATGTATGTCTATTTGTTTTTGAGATAGTATCTTACAGTTTCCAGGCTGGCAAATGTGTGGTCCTCCTGCCTCAGCCTTCTGAGAAGCTAGAATGACAGGTGTGCAAATCAAACTCTGGGCTAAGTGTTCTAGGAGAATTTTGCATGGCAGTCAGGGAGCAGATAGATAATCCCAGGCTGGTTTTGTGGCCTCACAAAATATCAAGTATTTACCTAGATAGCTTTTGGGTTTTTTTTTTCAGTCAACATGATAGCTGTTTTGTGTCAGGGACTATTTTCCAGCTCTCCTAGTCCCCCTTTTGCCAGAGATGGAATTAATAAATTAAATAAACTAAAACAAGATTAGTTAATAAATTAATATAATTAAAATTGGGCTAGAGTGTAGTTCAGAGCATATGCTCAGCATATGAGAGGTCCTGAGTTCAATTCCCAGTACCACAAAAAAGTTCAAATTGGAGAAAAATTAAAAATAAATAAGTAACTAAATTACATTTCTCAGAGCTGGGAAGATAGCTCAGTGGTCTCAGCACCTGCCTGGCCAGCACAAGTACCCAGGTTCAGTCCCTGGTACTACATGCCATGCTGGTCCTCAAACCCTGGGTGCAGCAGTCCCTAGACCAGGCGTGGTGGCACAGGCTTGTAATCCCAACCCTGGGGATGCTGAGACAGGAGGATCACGGAGTCAGAGCTGCATAGTGAGACCCTGCAGCAGATAAATAAAAAAAGATTTGTTTAGAAAATACATTTTTCAGAAACCCTTACAAAACAGGACAAAAATAATGAGCTTGCCAGCTTTTAAGTGAGCCAGAAGAATAAGGAGGCATTTCAGGAAAGAGTGATGGTGGACAGTGAGCATATATAAAAATCGTTGCTTTACTGACCACAACTCAAGCTTTCGTCCCTCATTTATCTGTCTAGAAAACGTGAGTCTTAGAGAAATACTTTGCTCTCTGTTTAACCCAGTCTACCAAGCATGAAGAATGAAGACAGTCACCTGTGCCTTGCTTTCTTGTAATGTTCGTTGTCAAGATTGAATGCACACTCTGGATTGCAAAGTCTCAAGCTTTTTCAAATACAAATTATGGTTTGTTTTTCCCAGAGCACAAGCTGCAAAGCCCTGCATTCTTTTCTTTGATGAATTTGAGTCCATTGCTCCTCGAAGAGGCCATGACAACACAGGAGTCACAGACCGAGTAGTTAACCAGCTCCTGACTCAGTTGGATGGCGTAGAAGGCTTACAGGGTAACCATTTAAAATGGAGAAATCCACTGTTACCACAAAAGTTCACCAGGTTTTAGGATTTCATTTGTGTTTTCTCCCCTGCAGGTGTTTATGTCCTGGCTGCTACTAGTCGCCCTGACTTGATTGACCCTGCCCTTCTCAGGCCTGGTCGACTAGATAAATGTGTATACTGTCCTCCTCCTGATCAGGTGACAATTTCATATTTAGAGTCCAAAACCCAACAAATGCCACACTCTTTCCTTGTGAACTTTTCTGCCAGGTAATAGCAATTGTCCTTAGAAGACCAGTTTTTTTAGGCAAAGGCTTTAGTCTAATGATAGTGAACCTTTTAGAACGTTCAGTGATACAAATGGCCCTCTGATGCATGCATGCCAGGGGTTCGCATCTCTGCTCTAGTCCCTGCAGAGATCAGGTGACCTGCCGAGCCTGTCTCATCCAGCTGTTTCTTTTTTCTTTTTTTGTTTTTGACCCAGCTGTTTCTGTGCAAATGTGCAAGGTTTTTATTTCTTCAGTGTTGGCCAATTGGAGGACAAAGGCAAACTACCTAGATGCTCAAATGTCTGTTTAGGCAGCACACGCCTCTTTGTTTCTTGTTAAAAAAAACTTGTACACAATCAGGCCTATGAAAAGTGAGCATGTAACTAGGTGACACAGAAGCACTCTTTTAGTTACGTACTCGGCCAGCTTTTGTGTTCAGCTCTAGAATGAATGAATGAATGAATGAATGAATGAGTGATGAGTAGACATAAATAGTCAGAGGCATAAAATACCTGAGTAGATATCATACACAGTTATTTAAAATAGTCTAACGTTTTACTGGCACATTTGTCCATTATAGACGTTAACCACAACCTGGTTAGTTTATTTTTTATTAATTTATTTTTTTATATTATGAGATATATTATTTTTCTGACCAAAGTGCAATGATTTCTAAATATTCTTAAACAAATAACTATGAAAAAAGTATTCCAAAAATAAAATACAAATGGGAAATCTAACTACTAGATTGCCTTCTCTAATTTTAGCCCTACATTTAGGCTAGAAACAAACAAAAATCTGAATTGCTACTAATGTGAGAGCTGAATCTTTCCATCATAAACCTGGCACATGCAATCTGGTTAGTTTGGAATGTGAATTTTCATTCTTTTTCCTACCTGTGTCACTTCTGTTAAGGAAAAATTTCCAAGGAAGATAGGCTGTGTAGACTTGCAGTATATTTCTCAGCATACTTGTAAAGCTTGTTAGATATATAAAGTTAACTAATGGAAAAGTCCTAAGATACAGTTAAAGAAAATGTTTACCTTTATTCTTATTTGCTACATCAATTCATCTTCCTGCCCCAGGGTTCGCGTCTGGAGATCTTAAACGTCCTCAGTGACCCTCTGCCTCTGGCTGATGATGTGGACCTTCAGCACGTGGCCGCCGTGACCGACTCCTTCACCGGAGCGGATCTGAAAGCTTTGCTCTACAACGCCCAGTTGGAGGCCTTACATGCGAGGCTGCTCTGCAGCGGACTGCAGGTCAGTTACACGAGGAGGGCGTCAGGCCGTTGCCAGAGGGAAAGAGCAGTTTTCACTGTTAAAAAATACTACTTTTAACACTTCCATTAAACCATGGACATTTAAATTTGTAATTTGAAGAATTTGGTGTCTGTTTCTTTAACATTCTTAATATTAGCAAAAATGTGTTGGTATTTTGAAGGATATTATTTATTTTTTGGGGGGAAAGATATTTAAATTGACATATCAAGAATTAGTATTGACAGAAAAATGATTAAGGTTCTTTGATTTATACTTTAATTTCTAAAAATAATCAGCTTCAGTTTTATTTTAAAGATAAAATTACACCAGTCTTGCCGAGGAGACCCCTCGTGCGTGACACCTGTGCCCTGGTGCTCTGTCCTCAGGGTTCCTGGCTGCTTCCTGAGTTCCCATGCAGTGTTCTTGGTTTTCTGCCCTTTCTGCATCCCAGCGCTAGCATCTGCCTTTCTCTAAGGATGGTGTTCTGACTTAGTTATTGCAGTAGATTATTTGTTACCTCATAGACTTTATTTTTTTATTATTATTTTTTTTTGTTCCTCGAATGCCTTCAGGGCACTTTTGGCCAGCGGGAGAGTTGTGAGGTTCGAACTCCAGCAACCTGAGGCTGACAGCTTTGTGGAAGCAGCCACTTAAAGGCCTGAGCTAGGGCCAGGCCCCCACTCATAGACTTTATCATATATTTTTATGTATGTTCTTGTACCCCACATTTTATGAGAGATTTTGGCAGGCCCTGGTGTTCCCAAACCAGAAACTCAAGTTTTGCTGTTTATTTTGGCAAGCTGTTGAAATTTTAAAATCTTTTTTTCACTATTAAAAAAGGTCACATATTTGTAGAATACTGTCTCATAAGAAAGCACTTACACAACCTGGTTTATTACAGGGTTGTTTTGTTTTTTTTTTTCTCCAAATGCCTTCAGGGCAGGTTTGGCAGGTTTGAGTTGTGGGGATCGAACCCCAGCAACCTGAGCCTGACTGCTTTGTTGAAGCAGCCACTTAAAGAACTGAGCTACAGGGCAGGCCACCAACCTGGTTTATTATAGATGTGCACTATCATACTGAGCTTCCTCTTTAGAGTTGAAATTGAACTGTCTGTCTCACAAGTGTTGGGGAATTAATAAAGGCCTGTTGGAAAGGGCCTCAGGTCTCATTGTATCACTCTATTAGGATACTTTCTGTGTTTTCTGGATTTTTAGATGTTACAACAGGTTCTCCCTTTGTGTGTCTCAGGACGGAAGTTACAGCTCTGACAGTGACCTAAGTCTGTCCTCCATGGTCTTCCTTAACCACAGCAGTGGCTCTGATGACTCAGCTGGAGATGGAGAAAGCGGCTTAGATCAGTCTCTTGTTTCCCTGGAGATGTCAGAGATCCTTCCAGATGAATCAAAATTTAATATGTACCGGCTCTACTTTGGAAGCTCTTATGAATCAGAACTTGGAAACGGAACCTCTTCTGATTTGGTATCTTGCGCTGTTATTTATGTAGTTCTGAAATGTAAAGCTATGTCATTGTGTTGGTGTAAAGTTAGACATTCATTATTCTCTTCGCCAGGCCTTTAACGGTTGGCTGTTTCTTCAGTAACAAAAGTCTTGTTTTTCTCATTTACTCTAGTTAGTAATTTTCATTCCTTGTTATTTAGTTGCTCTTCTCTGGTTGTTGGGACAAAGTACCCAACACCCAAAATGAAGGAAGGAAAGGTTTCTTTAGCTCACAGTTTGTGGAGGCGCAGTCCATGCTCAGCTGGCTCCAGGGCAGGGTTCGGAAGGCAGAGGGCAGCTGTTCATGGTGGCAGAACACAGCACAGAGCACAGAGAAAGACAAAAGGCAGGAACAGCAACAGCAGTGACTGCAGAACAAGTCCCTCTGCCTTATGTTGTATTCAGATTGTCTGCCCCAGGCGAGTGTAGCACTCACACCCGTAGTCCCAGCATTGGAACATGAATTAATCACAAACTCTAGAAGTCGCCCCATAAGTACATGAAGTTTTAGGGGAACCTCTAGACACAAATCATAGCACTTGTTAACAACTTTAACAAGTAAGGGCAAGCAAAGTAACTAGTGATTGTGATTTGGCTTCCCTCTGGCTTACCTGTCTTAATTAGTGCGTTTAAAAGCTTTTTAGTTAGCAGATGTACTTGTAGAAATTTTACTATCAGAACACTTGAGGGTAATGACAAATTTTATATAATGTCAAAATTTTTTAGCAATAACTTAATCTTTGCTTTGTGGAAAATATAAACGCATTGAAAAGTAGTAATATATTGGGGCCGGGGAGATGGCTCAGTGGAATAAGCACTTCCCTGGCAAGCGCAAGGGCCTGAGTTCAATCCCTGGTTCCGCAAAAAAAAACAAAAAACAAAAAACAAAAAAAGATACAGAAAAAAAAAGTAGTAATATATAAACAAGGAAAATATTCAGATTAGGCATGGGCAATAACTTTTTCTTTCTCCTTAATTTTTATCATTCAGTGTACATCCCTCCAAAAGTAGTAGTGGTTCACTGTTACTTTTTTGGTGTGTGATTATTTAGTTATATTTTTGGACATCTTGCTTTATTCAGCTTTCTAAAAATATAAGACTTACCCATTTTTGTTCCTAAGGATAAGAAGATGCTGTTTTACTTCTAGCCTTTGCTTCGCTCCTGCATTTCCTAGCTTCTGTCTAGAAATGTAGAACCTTAGTAAACTATCTGCAGCAAAGAACAGGACTCCCTTGGAAGCCGTGCGTGGCCATGAGTGGGGCGGCGTGAGTCACCAAGCATGACAGAAAGCAAAAGCCTTCGTGCCGGCAGTTCCCCCCGCCCCTCCAATTCTTTAGCATAGGCATCAGCGAGCATTTGGAATGCCAGCATATTTTAAGCTTGCTTAGTTTTAGTAAATTACATTTGATCTATGCTTGGGATTATTGAGTGTTTTAGGGTGTTTTAGCCCCGAGAACGCATGGTCGTCCTGTGCCTCCTTCCTGTTGTACCGTCCTCCTTTCGTCGCTTGCAGAGCTCACAGTGCCTCTCGGCGCCCGGCTCCGCGACTCAGGACCTGCCCGCGCTTCCTGGCCGAGAGCCGCTGTTTGCGCAGCCGCCGGCGGCGCTCAGAACCGCTTCCCAAGAAGGCTGCCCCGAGCTCACGCCGGAGCGGCGGGACCAGCTGCGAGCCGACATCAGCGTCATCAAAGGCAGATACCGCAGCCACAGTGGAGTATGGCTTTGTTGCCGCTCTCTTTATAGTTACCGAAACTTTCTAAGTTGTTTTTCCTTTCTTAATACATATTTCTTCGGTTTGTAAATGAACTATATTTATAAACAAAAATTGAAAAACTTGGACACAAGTCAAATGGTTACCTAAAGGGAATGGATGGTATCATGAAAAACTGTAAAAAGAAATGAAACTGCCACTTTTGGGAAAAAGTGAGCTAACTTTTTTTATTCATTTATTTAAGGAGGATGAATCCCTTAACCAACCAGGACCAGTCAAAACCAGTCTGGCTATTAGTCACTCACATCTAATGACTGCCCTTGGTCACACAAGACCGTCCATTAGTGAAGATGACTGGAAGAATTTTGCCAAGCTGTAAGTAACAGATTGTGATATGGAACAGATATGGTGACATCATTATTCATTTTTTATTTTGTTTCATTGTTTTTGAGACAGTCTTATTACATATGGCCTTGACCTCATAGCGATCTTCCTGCCTCAGCCTCCTGAGTGCAGGTATTATAGGCACGGACCACCACCTCTAGTGTATACATTTAAACTTTTGAAGTTCTTAAAAATATATTTCTTGATTTAAAAATGTATGTAGTAGAAGACCTGCCTAGCATATGTGAGTCCCTAGGTTTAATCCCTAGCATGGCAAAAACATAAGCATTTACACATGCAGAAACTTGAGGAATACAGAGGTCAAAACTGAATTTTAATTGAACAATTCACTTGATTATATTTGAGTTAACTGTAATGAATTAATTTAGAAGCTTTGGTTCAGAGCTCTACATGATGCCAGCTATATGGTTTGCAAAATTGATGAGAAAATTACCATTTCACTTTTAAAATTAGGTTTTTCTAATCTCAGGTGTATTTACATTGAGTTTTTTTCATTTGTGGGCTCGAAGCCATTAAGAGGCATAGGCATCTTGCCTCTGTTGCCTCCTCTGGGGCTGAGACCCATCGCCTGGGAGCCATTCTGTACCAAGGATTAAACACAATTCAAGAAATACTTATTCCTCTTTTCTCATAAATATTTCAGCTCTTGTTTTATTATTCATTACTGTGAGGCATGTGTGTATTCATACATCAATAATATGTACTCTTTTTAGAAAACTCAGAAAAGAAAGATAAGTTTAAAAATACAGAAATTTCCTTTACTCTAATGCGCCTCGTATGCTAATATGTTCCTTTCTTACCAAAATAAGAACACGCTGCGCATGTTGCTGTGCTGCCGTCCTCCTTTTTAGCTAAGCACACATTTTAAAGAGGTTACGACTTTGTTGTAGAGCTGTGGGCCTATCCAAGTTGGGGTATTTAAGTTGCTTCGAGGTGCCCAGAGCAAGCAGCCTCGTAGGGACTATTTAAATGACGGTCTGCCTAGATTCTTAAATGGTTGCATCACAGGGTACTGACACTTTTTAAGGTGTAAGAAATATATTTTTGGGCTGGAGAGATAGCTCAGCACCTGCCTGGAAAGTACAGCAAGGTCCTCAGTTTGATTCCCAGTACAAAAAAAAAAGTATTGCCAAATTGCTTTCCAGAAATATTGTACAGTGTGTAATTCAGCCATAGAATAGAGTTCCCACCTTATACCTACACTAGTCCTGAATGTTGTGTTTCTAACCTTTGCCAATTTAATTGTAGAAAAATAGTATCTTATTGAATAATTTTTATTTGTTTAAAATAATAGATGTTATTTTTTATATTAGTCGTTGCCATTCAGTTTTATCTTTTCTAAATTTTTTCTTCATTCTCCTTGCTCCTCTTCTCAATTAGATTGCAGCTCTGAAAATATATTTGTAAGAACTTTCTTTAATCTTTTACAGAGTTTTTTTAAAAATTATTTTCCTTTCATCTCTTAAAATATAATTTTGAATGGGGTTAGTGGTGTGTACCTATATTCTGCTACTCAGGTGGCTCAGGCAGGATATTTTGGCCCAGGAGGTAGAGGCCAGCCTATATTGATACTTTATCTCCAAAAAAGAAGATATAGAAATACAGATATAGATGGATAAAGAAATATAAGTAGATTTATCTATGTATATAAGTCTGTTTACAAGTCCCCATTATACTCACTATTATAATATCTACATTTATTAAATATCCGTTTTATTTTTTAAGGTATGAAAGCTTTCAGAATCCAAAGAAGAAAAAAAGTCAGAATGGAACAGTGTTGCGGCCTGGGCAGAAAGTGACATTAGCGTGACATACACTTCTAAGGATGTTTCCCTTTTTCTTGTTGTTGGCTTGTCCAGATGTTATAACAATACAAAAAACCCACTGTCTATAAATTTCTTTTTAATGTGACAAGTTTGTTTAATCATAAAATCACAGATTGGTAAATGCTGTGATTATGTAATGATCAAGATTACTTAGATTAATATTGTTGAATAAATTGAGATATTTATTACAGATTCTGTATTTTATTTCTCATAAAGTATATTAAATTCTTAATGAAGTAATATTGATCAAGTAGTGGTATATATTTCTCCTTGAAGATAAAACAATAGAAAGTATAATTAAATAAATTTCTTAGAACAGTTACATATACAGTATCTTTCTAGCATTTAACAAATTTTACACTTAACACTTTCTTGACTATTCATGAAAAATTCCTATTTTCTACTGATCTGCATATACACAATTTATATAAGTTGCAAATTTACAACAGGAAATGAGATCACATCCCCAATATACATACGTCCATCAGAAAATCCAGGATCTTATTGAATAGTGTCCATTCCTCTCATGTGGCACTGTGGTTTAATCTTGGTATTCTCTTGATCTATAAACTGTATTGTTAAATTGACCATTGTCAGTATAAACTATATACATAATGTCTATGTGGTAATTGGTAAAGGGAAATGGAGAAAGTTAATTAAAATATACAGCTAAGCACACAAGACAGTGATGAAGGGTGTATAGATGGTAACCATTGCCCTTTGTTGAGCTGATGATGAGGCCAGGACTGATGTTCTTTTACTTGTCTGTTCCATTACTGGCTCCTCTGACTTCAGCCAGCATGTCAGTGGAGTAGATCTTTCCTGAGTGGGATGGCCTGAACCTTTCTCCCTGAGCCATTTGTGTGCTAGCTAGCTAAGGTGCCTATAGTCCACGAAGTTCTGTCCATGTTTTTCTCATCACCCATTGTGTAGCAGCAACTTTTACTCCTCCTTTGAATCAGCTTACTGCTCACCAACACCAGACCCCTTTGCTCCCAGGCCAAATGGAGTCACTGCTGTGTCTCTGGGGAAATTGGTCAGAGGAGTGGTTGAAATGAGTGTGATAAGGAAGGGGCCTTGGAGCAGCAGTTGCCAGTGTTGTGCTCACATCTGATGTCTCCCTGAAGTCCCATACACTCACAGGTGGGGCTCTTCAGAAGGGACTGGCTCTAGGGTGTGTGATGTTGGAATCTAAGATGTGTTTCTGGGATTAAGGCTGCCCTACTCAGAGTGTGAGTGGTCAGGCTGAGTAGCGGGAAGGATGTTAGAGACAGAAGAAGGGTTATTGCTTGTCTCTTGCAGCTTGGTGTCCTTCTGTCTTGCTCCATCTGCCTTCTGCCTGCCATGAACTATTTCCCCTCTGTGATGCCCTCTGTCAGCCATGCCATTCTGTCTTGGAGACAGCCAACCATGGACCGAAACCTCTGCAAACTGTAAACTGAAACCTTTCTTGTTTTACCTTTATGTGTTGAGTATTATTTTGTCTCAGCAACAAGAAATATAACTAAAACACCCAGGCTTCCGGAATGCATTTTAAAGATTAGGGCAGATCTGTGGGAAAACAGCAGAATTCAAATCATTAAAAG